TATAAAACAGGCCTGTATACTGCAAGTAATATGAATTTCATTAATTTCTTGAGCCAAAGAATGTTAATTAAGTGCTGCAACCTCCCCTGAAGAACTACAAACCAATGAATTTGTAAGGATGGATTACTCTTTCTTCTTTCAAGGAAAATAAGGATTCCATGTCTGTTTCAGTCAATTGGATTGGATTTAAAGCCAAAACAAATTAGAGGCTTGCATAATTATTGATATGTTGGGGGCATACCAGCAAATGGTCCTGGAAAAACACATACATTTCAGAATGAGGTACCTCCTCTTTCATTCATGTGTGATCTTATTCCAATTTTAGGGTTTGGCTAGTATTATTAATTATATATATATAATTAATATATATATATAAAATATCTTTCTTATAGATATCTTATATGCAGATAGTTACTTAAAACAGATAGATTTGAATTCTTAGCCTAGTTCTACCACTAAGTATATGACCTTAGTCACCTTACTTCTCTATCTTTAGTTGCTTAATCTATAAAATAGGGATGGTAACGCTACCTACTTCCCAGATTTTAGTAGAGGTTGGAAATGCAATAAAGTACTTAGCACAGATCCTACTATAGAAAAAAAGCTCAAATAAATATCATCATTAATATCACTATCATCATCATTATTTCTTAAAATCAACTTTATCGGGGTGTAGCTTAGACACAATAAAATTTTAACAAATGTTGACACCTGTGTAACCATCACCACAACTGAGACATAGAATATTTACAACATAATCCCCAAATCGTTATTTTAAAACCAGAAAACTAATGTCTTATCCGGTAATAATACAAAGGCGAAGTCAACTGTATAAAAAGCAACATATGGTATCAACTATAAAAAAGAATGAATACTTGCTAACTAGAATTACAAAACCATGGAAATGTAGCAGAAGGAGCATTCATTTTGAGGGAGTTAGGGGACTGGTCAGATGTACTGCTTATTATTGCTTCTGCCTATTCAGCATTAATTCCCTCTTTTCCTGTTAACAGCCCTTTGTTTGTCCTTTGGGGGAAACAACTCCTCCCCAGTGCTTTACGTTTTAGGAGCGGGGCTGTTTTTTTGTTTGTTTGTTTGTTTAAATTTTATTTATTTATTTATTTGAGAGAGAGAGCACATGAAAGGGGCAAGGGTCAGAGGGAGAAGCAAACTCCCTGCTGAGCAGGGAGCCTGATGCGGGACTCGATCCTGAGACTCCAGGATCATGACCCGAGCCGAAAGCAGTCGCTTAACCAACTGAGCCACCCAGGCGCCCAGGAGCAGGGCTGTTTAACCCCTGGCCTCAGTCTTTAATTTCTGCTCTAATTCTTGGGGGAAAAAAACAAACAAACCTCTGTTACTGCTAATATTGCTGGATATAAATTCGGAGGAGCAGAGAGCCACTGAGAATGAAGGCACCACAGAGGAAGGTCAGCTCATGGGATGCAGAGAGAAATCTTGGGCTGACGTCATCATCCAGGTCCCCAGAGGCTACATCTATTTCTGGTCCTTAGTTACATGAGGACCTAAGAGCCTTCATCATGGACCAGCCCTGTTCTCCAGTTTGTGTTCAGGAGCCATGAATGAGTGGCCTCTGCTCACCTCTGCTTATGTGGGCTCAGAGAGAACCTATATGAGAATGCTCTCCAATCTTCTACAAATGGAAGGTCACTGTATGGCAACTGTAAAATAAATTGGACAACTGAAATCAGAGATTATGGATTCAAACTATACTGATACTGAAAGTAGAACTCTTTAGACTTATTGTTTGACTAATTGGAAGGAATTCAGACATCTTCCAAAGAATTTAGGCCAAGTTATTTTGCCTAAATTATTTCTATATTTCCTATGAAAGTAATTTTCGTTTTATTTTCCTTCATAGCTACAGCTTATGTTGTCACACGCATTGCTGTTTCTTCCTTATTAAACTCATGCCCCTCCTATTGGCATTGGGCAGCTCCGAAGTACCCACTGCTGTTCTAAGAGCTGGGGCTGAAGCAGCAGACAACACAAAATCTCAACTTTATGGAGTTTATTTTCTAGGAAGAGAGAGATAACTGCACCTTCCATGTGCCAGTTTTGTACTCAATACTACTGCATTCTGATTCTTTTTTTCTGATAATATTGCCTGAAGTGTGGGAAGTGCTTATAGAAATTCTGAATTAAATTAATAAGAAATAAAATGTTATCCACACGTATTTGTCTGTAAATGGACATATTAAGGTATATGTGTATATGTATGTATCACACACACTTCTTAGCTAGGTAACCTGGTTTAATTTACAATTCTGGGCCTCAGTTTCTCACCTCAAAAATGGGGATTATCATAGTACCAATATTACCTGGTAGGGATTAAATGCATGTAAATAATTTAGCATAGTGCCTGGCACAAACTAAGCGCTTGACAAATGATAGCTAATGTTATTATTATTATTAATGCATTTATTTTACTTTATACACAATTGCTCAATATTCTGCAACAGGAGAAGATGAATCATTGTGGCCCCCATTTTGTTTCATTCATTTAACATTTATTGAATATCATGTGCCAGGCCCACTGTGGCAGATTATTTTTTTCAAACATGGCTGTAACAATATCTCCCGTTCCTGTCACTTCCCTGCCTAGAGGCATAGTCTCATTCCCTTCCCTTTGAATCTGTGAGGGATTGTGACTTGCTTGTAGCTAATGACAGTGGTAGAAATTTGTGACTTCTAAGGCTAGGCCATAAACGGTGGTGCAGCTTTCCCCTTGGGAGATGGGACAGTCACACTGGAGTCCTGAGACTGCCATGCAGTGAGGAAGCCCAAAGTTGGGCACACACAGAGAGCACATGGAGAAGCCCTGGGCCCACCCAAGGAGAGGTAGCAGCTCAGCTAACCACCCTGCTCCAGGGCCTGTCATCATCTGACTGGGAACAGAGGAGAGACTCTTAAGCTGGAGCTACCCAGCTAAGCTCTCCCCAGATTCCTGGCTCACAGAGATCATGAGAGAAAATCAAAAGATTGTTGTTTTAGACTATTAAGTTTCAGTGTGATTTGTTATGTATCCATAGAGAACCAGAACACCTACCTTTTAAGTGCTCAAAATACAGCATTAAGCAGATCTTTCTCATCCTTGGCAAGTGAGGAGCAACTATTTTCAGGGTTTTAATTATCTATCCCATAGCTGTTTGGGCCTGCTCTCAAGTCTAAATTTGTAGATACAACACCAAACAGATCACACTCATTCATCCATTTATGCATTCAATAAACCGATCAATTTATTTCTCAACATAGATGCCTTCTCTGGCTCCTGAGTTGGCAACTTTTCCCCATGTTCCCAAGCCCTGAGGCCTTCTCCTGTCTCATCATGCAGCGCTTTTGCTTTTCTCCTCTCTCCCCCACCGACCAGCAGCAGTTAAGTTCATTCTGTGTTATTCATCTTAGCATCCGTACCATCTAGTTTAGCACCTGCACCTAGCAGACCTATTTAAAAAAAAAAACAGAACAAAGAAAAAAACCTTAACTGAAGGAGGGCTGCTAGTTCCTGGACATACAAAAATTTTTGCAGGGACAGTCCCTACCCTCCAGGAGTTCACAATTCAGGACTAGACACTGTGGGGCCCAGCCTGACAAGTGTTACTACATTTATTGAATATCATGCGCTCCCAGGCTTGATTGCAGGGGGGGGGGAGAGGGCGAGGAGGGTGGGGGGGCGGGGGGCGGGGGGGGGAGGTGGGGAGAGATTTATTCATTTATTCCACAAATATTTGTCAATCACCGGAGCACGAGAATCATACGCAGCACATGGTAAGCTCTCAATGTCTGTTACTGAACGCAAGCCACTGGTGTAGGTGTTGGGAATGCAGCAGCTCACAAAACTGCAGTGGTCCGTGCCCTCGTGAAGCTCACAGTGTATCAAAGGACGACAGAGAAGACGTAATTATGTAAAATTGTGCTACATGCCCAGCAGGAAAACAACGGACGGCTGGAATTCTTGTAAGGGTGTTAGATCTTTCTGCTGGGGGCAGCCGTGGGCGGATTTTGAGCAGGAGTGGCCATGTGGGGGACGGACTGTGGGGAGCGAGAAAAACTGCAGGCAAGAAGAGCTGGTAATTCAAAGATGCAAATATTTTCTGCTTGGCTGGAATAAGGAGCGTGTGTTTAGGGTTGACATGGTGGTTCGTTGCGCTCGAGGTTCTCCCGGGGTAGGGGGCTGCGTTTTGAGTGAAAGCTCAATTGCCCAGGCGTGCAGGGCGGGCTGAAGGGAACTGCAGCCCCAATTCCCAGTTTTTTCGGACTAGGCATATTTAGGGTCCTCCGTTCCCCAGACCTGCAGAAGCACTACCTCGGGTTCGGATCCTGGCCGCAACAGGTCACCAAGATCGCGAGTGGGAAGGGCCCATGCACCACAGCGATCACCCCTTCTGCACCCGGTTGGCACCACCGCGCGGGCGGGAGAGGGCGGAGCTTGTGTTGCGGACCTAGGCGGTGGCGTGGGCCCGCCCCCTGCCCCAGGCCCCGCCTCTACGCCCCGCTGATTGGGTGAAGGCCACGGAAGGGCCGGGTGTCCTCGGGAGGCAGGGGGGTCGGGCTGAGGCGGGCGTGCTGATTGGTCCGGCTGGGATTAGGTCATCGCTAGCAGGTTCGAGCGGCCCGGACGCCGGCAGGGCGGCCGAGGCTGCTGTGAGAGGGCGCTCGAGGCCGCTAGAGAGCGAACAGCCGAAGGAGGCGGGGAGTCGGCGGCCGCACTCGCTCGCCTGCTCGCTCGTTTCCCGGCACCGTTGCGGGACCGTCGCTGCGCTTCCTGCCCTCCAGCCGCTCCGTGGCGCGCCGCCGGAGCAGCCGCCCCTCGGCCGGGTCCCCACTCCGGTCAGGAGTCGTGCGCACCGGCGGACACCGCGCGGAGGGCGAGCCGGCGCCACACCTGTGGAGCCGGCGGGCGTCGGGGGTCCCGGCCGGGGTCCCGCCGCGTGCGTGCTCGGGGCTGCGGGCCTCCCGGGCTCTGGGGGAGGCGCGTCCCCCGGCTGGGCGACGCGGGCACTATGGGGCTCCCCGCGCTCGAATTCAGCGACTGCTGCCTCGACAGCCCGCACTTCCGAGAGACGCTCAAGTCGCACGAAGCGGAGCTGGACAAGACCAACAAATTCATCAAGGAGCTCATCAAGGACGGGAAGTCACTCATCAGCGCGCTCAGGAGTGAGTGTTCCGAGCCCGGCGGGGACGGGGCCCTGAGGCGGCAGGGCGGTCGGGCGGCTCTCGGCCCTGGGCGTCCGCGCGCCGGCGGCTCCCGTTCCGCCCTGGGGGCCCTGGGGGACGGCTGTAGATGCTTACAGTGGGGCGAGAAGGGTCCGTGGGATGGGCGAGCCAGCCGCAGTCGGCGAGGAGGGGGACCGGCCGCTCGGCCGTTGGCGTTCTGGGCCGGCCGGGACGTGACCGAGGGCGAGCGGTGCTCTGGGGCACGGCGGCTGGGTGTGCGCGGCACACAGGTGTCCCGGGAGCGAGACGCCAGTGCCTGGCGCGCCGCACCCCGTTGGGAGACGCCATCGCCGCCACCGCTCCGGCTCCCTTGGGGGAACACTCGCTCACCCCTGGGTACCCAGCCGGGGAAGCGGAACGTGCCCTGCCAAGGGGGCGCTGCCTCCCCTCAGGAAGAGGCGGCTCGTTGATTGCTTCGCTCTCTGTCCGCCAGCCCGCCCGGGGCCGCCGGATTCTCCGAAAGGCACGGGCGCTGCCAGGGAAGGGCTGGGTGGAATGGTTGGTTAGCTCGCGGTTCTGGGCGGTAGTGGCAGCCGGTAATCCAGGGCCGTGTACGTGTGCAGGTTCTGATTCTTGTGTTTAGCAGAAGGTGACAGCGGTGGGAGTACAGCATCAGAGTGTTCCTTTACTCTAAACTGTGGGCGAGGGTTTAAAAATAGAACGAACATATCCTGACTCTCTCCCCTCGCTCTCCTTTTTACCTCTCCCATTATCCTTGAAAACTCAAAGGTTTTGAGGGAATGTCCTCCGGCCTCACTCAGAAAGCAGAAGTTTAAGCTCATCCTTTAAGATTCTGGAGCCTTTTGTAAAACCGTTATTTCCTTTTGGTGGGGCGCGGGGGGGGGTGAGATTTGCATTCAGTGTATGATTTTCTCTTGACTTTTGCAAATCCAGAGAGTTTCTCCTGGCCAAACAAGAGTGTTCCAGGGATGAGCTCTTTGGATTGTGAGGTCGTTTTTGATGCCTTTTCAGCCTGCCCATTTAAAAATAGTTCCATCCATCTTTCAGTTTTGAGAATCGGGAATGACATGAAGGAAGACACTGGAAATGTCTTTGACTTACCTTTTCTTGTCTGTGTGGTGGATTTCTTAATAGGTGATACCTTTCAGCTAAGACAGGTTGCATTGGCGGAGTGGGGTCCTACCCCTGAACATTGTTCCCAGGCCTCTTGAAGGGAGACTTCCAGAAGTCAAGTGCCTGAGATGTCATTTTCTGATCCTGTTGCTTCTAAAAATGAAAAGGGAGATAATGGAACCCCAGGACAGCAATTGCCAGTCTTTTGGGGGTGAAATACACATAAAATTGTGGTGTGATGAGGTTCCTCAGAGGCAGGGTCTCTGATGACCTGAAGCCTATTCTTCCTTTCTCCGTGACCATCCTTGGTTCAGGGAGCACTCCACCCCTGGTTTGGGGTAAGTTAGGGGCTCCCTCATAGATTGGACCCACGAATTTTGGTTGAATCTCAGCCTGGGTTTAATTGGGCTTCTGCTTTATTCAGCAAACATATGGAGTGCCTGCTGTGTGCTAGGTACTGCTCTGGGCCCTGACAATGTAGCAGTGAATAGTCTGTTGCCCCTGTGGCTACAGAGACTGACTCCTTGCCAGTGAGTTATCTCATGTTATTCATTTTACAAATGAGAACACAGGCTTGGTGGAGTCACTAGTCCAGAGCCACACAGCTCCAGCAGTGGGGCCTAGTTTTGAACCCCTGCATGGTCTGAGCCAGAGTTGGAATTCCTGCTAATACAGAACTCTTAAGCCTTTCCCATCCTGCTTACCCAGAGTGGACCCCCTGGACCAAGCCTACTAGAATTTGGAACTGTATTTGTATGTCCATCTTGAGTATGAGTAGGGTGCATTTGTGTGACTGGAAATTTATTTGCCTGCTACTCTTTTTTTTGGCAGGGGTAAGAATTCCTTGGGTAGGAGGACATGATGCAGTGATAGGGTTTAAGAGTTATTTAAGTTATCTAATGGAATGGAGCAGCCCTGTAACTTGGGGGAAAGACTAGTAAGGAACTAAATGTTTTAATCTCTGTATGTCCAGTTGTATGTATTAACTATACTCTTTGCTACTCTTACTTAAATAGGTCATGTGTGACCTCTTCAGTGGAAAGGGTGGAGTTCATCACTCTTTCCCAGATTTCAGGCATTCCATTATCATTAGGTGCTTGCTGCAGTATGTATTACTATCTTAGTATTTGTGTATTAGTTTTCTTCTGTTCATCTTTCTCACTACTGAAAATGTAAGGTCAGGGTTTTTAAAACTAATTACGCAAAACAAATACATAATTATATAAAGAAACCCGGATTAGATGTTTTACAGTCTTTTCCAGCTATAAAATTTTATGGTTTTATTTTGTAATTAGCATTCACAGACCTTTGGGTTTAGGTTTCCTTCATGTGTTAATCTGAGGCAATAAAACTAGCCTCTTGGGATTGCCAAAATTCAGCTAGATCATTGTTATTACTACTTTTATTTTATGCATGAAGAAACTGAAGATCAGAGAGGTCAATAACCTGCTCAAAGTGACAAAGCAGTTAAGTGTACTTGAACCCAAGTTGTCTGATTCCAAAGACTGTGCACTTAACCCTGAAGCAAAACTGTTGTTTAGGTCAGTTGTCTCTTGAATCCCCTTGAGAATCTGATAAACAAATAACCCCCTTCAAGTTTTTCCCTGGAGTCCAAACCTCTGGTCTGGATACATAGAAGATAAACAATAAAATATTTTGACCTACCTTGGGGACTCTATGTCAATTTTTTTCTGTCCTGATTTGCCCAGTTCTTTTCTGTGGGTGCTCATATGCTCAAGATTTGTTCAGTGCCCTGATGAATCAGTGTTTCAGTCGGGAGGATTTTGCACGTTCAAGACTTTGTTTTTCTGTAGGGATGATAGAGGCTGGAGATGAAGTTCAGATTTGTAGAATTAAGGTTTAGCATTTCCTGGGTTCGAATCTTAACCCCATCACTTAATGGTTGACTCTGGACAAATCACTGAGCCTGAGCTGCTTCTATGCAAAATGGTAGTAGCCACCCTGACCTTCTAGTTTGAAGACTAAATGAATCAGTGCTTGTAAAGAAAGCACTTAGTTTGGGCCCTGGTGCATAGCACTGCTCATGTGTTGGTAGTTATAATCATCTTCCAGCATTCAAGGTTGTCAAGACTCAGAACAAAAGTTAGTAAGAGCAGAGGTATATATTTTGGTTTGGGTGCAGGGAGTTAGGCTTATGCCTTCTTCATAAGTTACACAATTGTGTATGTATTAACCACTGGTGGGAAGGATCCTGATTATCCCGTTTGTGTAACGTGGCTATGCCAAAAAAGTTCCACAAGTTAAAAAAAAAAAAAAAAGAATAAGTCTCCCAACATACTTTCTGTTCCTAATAACATCTTGGTAACTTAAATTTTCATCTTTCTTGATAGATTAACATACCCTCTCAGTGGCTGGACTGGCTGCCTCTCACTCTCTTGCCTTGCAGGAAAAGCTCAGAGAATGCTTTGGACTTCAGGGCTGGTCTCATGGACCCAGTGGCAAACCAAATGTGGTTTCATAGAAATGAAAGTGAATTAGGTTGTTGGTTTTGAGGGGTGTTATGGGGTTTCAGGAATTTTTTCTTTCCATCTTGAGAGTTGGCTTATGGACTTATTGCTGTAAATTTGGCTTCTGCTTTCTGAGATAGAATGAATAGCCTTATTCTGATAGTTGAAGGTGGGGCAAAATTTCAAATTTTAAAAATATCAACTCTATTAAGATATAGTTCACCCACTTACAGAATCCAATTCAGAGTTTTTTAGTACTTTCATAGAAATGTGCAGTAATCCCCACAATCAATCTCAGAATATTTCCATCACCCCAAAAGAAATCTGATTCCCATTGGTAGTCATTCCCCATTTTCTCCCAGCGCCCCCCAGCCTATGTCCCCAGCCCTTGTCAACCACTAATGTATTTTCAGTCTTTATAGATTTGCCTATTCTGAACAGGTGCAGTTTTAATAGTTTTCCTCCTAGGTGGTGGTGACCAACTTTAAGAACACAATTTTTCATTGGAATTTCAGGTAGGAGAACTTTGAATCCATAAGCTGCTTTTCTTCAGTGGGCTTAACTAGGGGTGAAATCCCAAAGATGAAACTGTGTCCCAGGGCTAGGAGAAACCCAGGTATGCCTTTGTGTTTCAAACCCATGAGTGGAGAGTGGATTAGTTCTGGTTCATGGTACTGTGATGGATACAGAGGAGATCAAGATAAAACTAAGAATCTAGCCCCTTCCCTCTATGAACTTTAAGTCAACTTGGGGAGGGTATATGATGTTCCATAAAACCTTACTTTGGGGTCTTATCCTGCTGGGTGACATACAAAATGAAGTGAATGTGTTTATATTTCTGTAGTTGAGCCTGTAGTATTCATGAGCTTTTTGGAGATGTGGTTTTGTTTATTGAGCACTTACCAAGTGTCTGTCCCTTTGCCAAGTGTCCACATTTTCTCATTAGTCCTTACCACTGTCCTGTGAGATGAATACTCTATTTTTCTGTATTTTAGAGTTGGGTAACTTATCTAAGGTCACATAGCTAGGAAGTTGTGTAACCAGGTTTTGAACCTGACAATAGACTGTACGGCCTTCTCTTGAACATGACTCTTCTTTGCCTTCAGTAACCGTATTGGTACTGAAGATGCAAATTCTTCATAGATCTAGACCCTAGAAAGGAGAAGCATGCAGCAGGTGCTAGATTAAGTGAAAATATTGTCCCAGTGGTTTTTCAGACTCTGAGACCTGGGTAGGCAAAGAATAGCTAGTATTTTGTATTGTGCTTTGAAGTATTGTTTCTTTCCATCATAGGATTAAAGAACCATTATAAACTAGATTGGCAAATGAGGGTGTCTGGCTATCTCTTGGCTTTATATAATAATAGAGTTTCCCTTTGGGGAAGCACTGAGTGATTAT